AAGACTCAAGCATCTACCGCGCTCCCTCGCTTATCGTGGAGGTTGCATTCCAGGTAGCTCGTGATAAGCGAAAATCAGCCAAGTAGTGATGTCATGTTTATTTTAGTATTTATCTATATTTTAAGGCTTCCCACACTCTTACAAACCTTTCCCACACTTTTACAAACACTAATGTTCTTAACCATTTTCTAAACTCATGAACCTACATAATTTTCACAACATAGGTATACTGTACAGTACTGTAAAATCCCATGATATAGTGAAAACTCCATGATAAATAATTTAGATTAATATATTTTGAAGACCTGCGAAACATCGAGTCCACAAAAGTTGAACCACAAAGTGGCAAAGGACTCCTGTGCTTCACTGCAGACAGTATATTAGGTACTGCAAAGGCAGCCATGACGCAAGTCCCTCTCTACTAAGAGCTGATGCTGTAAGAAGAGAGAAGCAAATAACAGAAGGTAGATGCTAGTGCTTCACATCGAAGAGAAGAGTAAAATCAAAGGAATAGCTTCAGGGAGAGCATGGGGGGAAACTTGAGTAGGTTGGATGGAAAAGGCCTGTCCGATGAAGCAACGTGAGTGAAGCCTGCAGGAAGCGAGGGAGTGTGCCTAGCAGCCTTGTGTTCTTCTAGGGAGAGAGAACACCACACTCTGCAGAGACCTCATGCATGCAGGTTCACCAAGAATGACAGCCCCAGTAGAGGAAAGTAGTGGAAGACTTGTTGGGAAGCTCTCAAATGTAAAACGAGGTGAAGTTGGTGGCAGGCAGTGGTGTTACTTGAGGTCTTGGAGAACCTTGACTTCTTCCTCGGTGTGCATGGGGTAGTGGAGAATTTTGAGTGGAGATCCCTGAGCACCCATGCCAGAGAGCCATCAGGAAGTAACTGTGACCTGCTGGCTGTAGGATGCACCTTGCAGGCCAAGACAAGGGTCACAGGCTGACATGTCGGCCCCCAGAGGACTTCTTTTACACATCTGCATGAATGACACCAACTCCATGAAACCACTTCCTTACACAAGACCTTCATTCAAAGGCACCAAGCCCACTTCCGTGCATGCAGCGCCTGCGCTGCCCGTGGTCCTCTTGCAGGGGGATGTTTCCCTCTGGTGTCCATTCCAGGAACCTGCTGTCCTGAGAACCATGTTTTGCTCTTTCCTGCTGACTCTTGGCCTTGTGCTGGTCCCTGCTTGCTTCTAGGAAGCAGATGCTGGGAACCCAGGACAAGGTCAGCAGGGCTCTGCCAAGCAAGGCTGCGACAACTCTGCATTGAAGTGTACATCTAACCTTATCTTCTTGGCTGCTTTGGAGAGAAGCTTTTACTGTTCTGGGTCTTTGTGTGTCACTAGAATGTGTCAGCTACAAGGAAGCAAACACTGTAGAAGGCAGATGCCATCCCAGAGAAAAGGCAAAGATCCAGTCTGAAGTTAGGGCCATTTGTATTCCGTGTTTGGTTCCATAAAATATGTATGTTTATGCTGGGCATGGTAGCGCACTCCTGTAATCCTAGCATTTGTGAGGCTGAGGCAGGAGGATTGCTGTGAGTTCCAGGCCAGCCTGGGCTACATAGTAAGTTCAAGGCCAGCCTGAATTGTGCAGTGAGACCTGTCTCAAAAGTTAAAAAAAAAAAAAAATGTGTATGCTTACATGTCCCACCCACTCATCCATGATTTGGGGATCGAATCCTGAGGAGTTAATGCCAGGGAGCCTCTCTCCCCAAGGGGCTGCGGTGCTGCCAGTGTTTCACGTTTCAAAACTTACTGTTTGATCCCACACCCGTGTGCCTCAGAGGTGGTGTACAACGGGCTTCGTGGGGCGGGGTGCCGAGTGCCCTCGGAGAGGCTGTTAGAAGGGCAGCAAGATCTCCTCAGGCTCTTGGTTTCGCAGGGTTTCTTGTGTGGTCCTTTGGCCTGTTGCTTGGCGCCCCCGGAGAGGCACAGCACAGAGACAGGGGTAGTGGGGAGAAGCCCCTCCCTTGCTGGTACCTGGGACACAAAAAGGAGCAAGAGAGGGAAGTGCCCGATGGCCCAGGCAGGTGCTACTGCACATCAAGGGGGCCGCATCTTCCAGGGGTCCCTGCTCCTCCAGCAGCAGCACAGGGACCTAACTTGGAACAGATCTGCCTCTGGGGGACATCTATGATCGAAACCACAACATTATTGATCATCTAATATATATATTTGGTATAGGGTCTCACTACGAAAGCTCAGACTCCTAGTGATCCTCCTGTCTCAGCCTCCCCAGTGCTGGGCCCACAGGCGTGCACCACCATGCCTGATCTCAGTGGCTGGCTCAGTGCGCACTGGCTCAGGGCCAGTGTGGCCAATGGTGCCAGGAATCAAACCCTGTGCCTGTGCTTGCTTAAGCAGGCGCTTATTCCACTGAGCTATCTCACCGACCCTGATCATCTATTGTTTAAAGATCTTGCAAAATGATCTTAGTCCTGTTACTGGCAAATACCACCCACCCCCACCCCAGTGCTGATGCTTTCTTTTATGGTTAAATGGATTTTAATGCTTGAAACCCAAACAAAAAGTTGTATACTCCTTGGCATTGACCTCCAAGGCAGACCTTTTATTTTACCTTTTCATGTCAAGGCGTAGCTTCGTTTCCAGGGAGTTCTTTTATGCTTCAACCCTTGCTTAGGGTCCAGGTTTGTTCGTCCTATTAGAGCTCATTTGGTTCGTGGTGTGGCCCTCTGCAGTCCACACTCTGTCTCTGTGTTCTTAAGTTTCACCTCTTCTCCTTATTGCCTCCGCTTTCTGGGGTGACACCTCCATTCTGGGTTCTGTCCTGGCTCGGCTCTCTGCGGCGCTGTCAGCCTTTTATCAGCTAGTGCTGACTGGGTTCTTGGCCCCCAAGCCTTTTATATTTCACCAGTATCCCTTCTTATCTCTGTACTTTTCTGGCTTAATGAAAGTCATATAAATATTACTTAGCCAAGAAGGTAAATGTTTTCTGGGGAAAAAAAAACCCCCAAACCCCTCTGTTTTGGCAGTGACTCCTTTGCAGATGCGAAGTATCCATTTGAGGCCCTTGTCACTTTATCCCTCCTTTTGCAATTGTTCACCCCTTCAACCCACAGGTTTTATTTATGTGTGTGTGTGTGTGGCCAGCTCAGCCCACCAGGGGGCGGGGCTGGCTGGCATGTGGTGCTGGGGGATTGAACTGCGGTCCCTGTGCTTTGCTAAGCTTGTTCTAAGTAGGTGCTTTAGACCACTGAGCCATCTCACCAGCCCCAACCCACAGGTTTTAGATTAAATTTTTCTTATTACCAAAGTAATAAGTTCCTCTGTGGGCCAGTTAGGGTCCTCTCTGTTCCAGCAGAAAGGAACCAGGCATCAGCCGAAGATAACCAGGGCTTCCTGCGAATCTTCCCATAAAGCAGTGGAGCCCACCCTCTGCCCAGGCAGGCAGCTGCCTCTGCATCAGTCCGCTTTTGCCTCAGCGCTGTGCCTGGTCCTTACTAAAATGCTTGGGAAAAATATGCAAAAGGCTGGCCTTGGGGAGTGGGTGTGACGGTGAGGGCCTCAAAGCTGGGGCAGCCAGCAGTGTGTAAGTAACCGTCTTGAGTGATTGTCAAAGTGTTAGACGCTATGACTGACTGAGGTTTTGGCTTGACGACTGGCCTCAACAGTAAGAGAACTGACGTAGGGCACTGTACACTAATGTAAGTAGTGATGGAAGTCAGCATGGATGCCTCTCCCAAAACTAAAATGACATTCTATCCAACCTAGCTGTCCCTCTTCTAGGTATTTTCTGGAAAGAGCTGAAGGACATCATATCACTGTGACCTATGCATGTACGTGTTTTTAGCAGCACAACTCATAATAGCTCTATCTTGGAAGTAGCCTGTATGTCCACCAACAGAGGAACAGATGAAGAATCCATTGTGTGGGATTATGCCCAGTGGAGTACTACTCTGCCATAAAGAAGGACACATTTGAGTCTTTTGTAGGAAAATGGATGCACTTTGAGACTATAACGTTAAGTTGAATAAATCAGACAAATCAGCTCAAATAGTGTGTGCGCGTGGTTTCTCCTTAGTGGGAAACCCAATACGTATATGGTATAAAATAAAAGATCTTAGGAAACAGGAGACAGAGCTTTTGCAAAAGGGAGGATGAAGAGATGGAGGGAGGGCGGGAGATAGGAAGGAAAGGAATGAAAAAAGAATGAGGACACGTTCTGTGCGTGTACCTGCTCCCCTCAAGGGAGGTGGGCCTTATCTCCTGCAAACGTGGGCTAAGGACAGAGAACAAAAACTGAAAAAAAAAATCCCACAGTGCTAAATTGTACCTTCAAAAGCTTGGTGTTTTCCTGGTCTGTCTCTCGCTTCTGCCACCTAGAAACATGACCTCTTTCATGCACGAGGAGCTGCGGGCTTAGAAAGGAAGCATTCATCTTGACATTTGTAAAAGTGTAATTATTTAAATTGTGAATCCTGAGATTGTGGGGACTGATATCTTCAGTGGTCGGGATTTTTTTTTTTTTTTTTTTTTTGATTGGAAAGAAAACGTAACACAGAGGCAATAGCCTTCATTTTATCAGGATGAAACTAAAGATTAAAAATAAAAACTTCATCAAAGATACAAGGTTATCCGATTTGTTTCTAATCTGCTTTTAGCACAAGGGTTACCCTGAATGATCACAATTCCGAGTATTTCCCAGAGACAAAATCCTGCCAGACTTCTGGGTAACTGCAAAACAGTGCTTACAGCAGAGCTGGCCAGGGGAAAAGGAGCCCCCCTGCTCAGCCCTCCCTCCAGGTCATCGCTCCTTCCAAACTGACCCCCTTTCCTGAGAAAGCCAGAGCACTCGCTCCCATGAACCCGGTCACAAATCAGAATGAAGGAATATATGCAAGGTAGTGGACGGCTCACCTCCTGCCAGCATTCAGGGCCTGCGACTCTGGACGCCGGAGGGACCCGGATGGGCGAGCGTGAGTCCTGCAACCTCACCCTGCAGTAACGCAACTGTTTCCTTTCTCTTTCCAGGTTTGAGATTTTTAAGAGCTCTCAGGCTGATACAGTTTTCAGAAATCTTGCAGTTTCTGAATATTCTTAAAACAAGGTAAGATGTTCTTTCTCCCATTTTCCCCCTCTCCAGTCCCCAGGGCCAAGTTGTAAATATCAGGTGTGTTTGCTTTCATGGCGGTAAAATGAGTTCTGTTGCACACAGGAAGAGTGAGCTAACACAGAGGTGGAGAGAAGCCCCAGAGTGGCTTCGTGTTGATCTCTTCCACAGGCAGAGAACTGTGTGGTAAAAACAGAGACAAGCTCGTGCCTGTGGGGAAGCAGGGGCAGTGTTGTGGGGCACGTGGCTGGTGCCTGGAGACTGAGCAGGGCACCCGGGAGAGAGGTACAGCACATGAGGGATAGGTTCGCTCACTGAGTGGGAAACCCTGGCCGCCAGGTCCGACATCGTCTCTTTATTACACCACTACATAAGAAATTGAACCCGGCCATAAAGGCAGGAGTAACAGTGCTCTTTGAGAGGCAGTCACAAAAACAGAAAATCATTTCACTTCTAAGCATATTTCAGATGTTCACCGTATATCCGTGGTGCCCCAGGGGCTTACTCTATGAATTACCTTTGGGAGAAACCCTAAAATCCTCCAGCTGAATGTGCCATGACTACTTCTGTTAATAGTGTTAAGATCTGGAAAACACAACCGGACCCAGAGCCATGGCCCCCAGATGATCCGCTGCTGATGACCTGCCGGTGCGCAGAGCTGGCCTGAGACAAGGGCTGTGTTGATGAATAAACTAATAAAAGAGGGCCACGTTCTCTAATGGAGAACAAGCACAGCGCATAAATTTCTTTTTCAGGAAATTACATGTTAAGAAGCTTCCGGTAGATGCTCCATTTCCTCTTTGATTGGCTTTGTTGTATTTGTTTTTTTTTTCAAAGTTTTATTGATAAACAGATAGCAATGAGACAGTTTCAAATCCAGTCAGAAGTACAGTTTCAACAAATAATACACTGCATATATTCTTCTTAGTGGTTAATTGCTGTAACAAGAAGTGGACTTGTGATCCTATTTACAAACACCATTAGAACAAATCATTCTATTCATTAAGAGAATGCAA